TCGCCCGGAGTCATGGCAACGAGACAGGAGTTGGAGTCGGAGTAGGAGTCGGATTTGGCGCCACCACGATTCCGTAACCCTGCTTCTTACCATCATTTATTAGGATAAGCCATTGCACGACTGACGAGCCGACCTGCTTCTAACGAAGCTACGGGTAGGTACGCCTCGGGAGATGAAGCTTCATGGACGATTTTGCGCACAAGTGCGCAGTTTGCTTTTAGGTTCCCCTCACGCAGAATTGAATAGAGATTTATTCTGCCAAAAAGCTCAATGGAGGTCGATGGAGAACTTTTTGTATGTCCAATGAAACATTAACGTAATTTTGCAAATGTTGCTGTGGTGACACTGCAAACAGAATGCAATGCCGTTCCTGATTTTGAACACGCATGGGAAAAAGAATCACTCCACTCGATAGCCAACATAGCAAGGATTATTTTGATATATAATAATCCGGTTTTACAACGTCATTGAGGTACTCCACATGCTATCACCAGCGCGGCTGTTTAAACCTTTGACGGCGCTCCAAAAAGCCACTATCAGAAACTCCCGATTCTACGTACGATAATGAAGACTAAATGCGCAACTAAATATTTTTTTCTGCCCAATTCAAAACATTTCATCAATTTCCAACAGAATGACACCCCAAATATACATATATTCCGAAATTGCCCATGGCCATCCGTGAGGCCGTTTCCAACCATAGTGCGCCCGTCTGATGGAGCCGGGGAGTGGCACGGACTGCCAGAGTGACCGGGAGTGGAGTTATGGCGGACGGCGCTACAGGGAGGCAGTCTGCGGCTGGGCGTCTTCAGACGACTGTATTGAGAAGACGTTTGCGTGATCATAGCGAATCCATAGCGTTCTTCTCGGAAACTGTCAAACCTCAGACGTCTGTGAGCATTGCTTTGGCCGGACAGACGCAGACCCTCCTGATACCATAGGCAACAAAATCACAAATGACAAAACGTAAAAATGTTTGCTAGTTTCTTTCTACAGAAGAAATAAAAACGAAGCATTTTGTAAGCGTTTCAGTTACATTATACAAAGTTCAAAATAAAATAAAAACTATCTAAAGTTGCCGTAATACAATAAGGTGGAAGCCACCCACCTTTCTTCTTTCAGCGAGCTCGCCGCCAGAATGAAACATCGCATCCCAATATCAAGAACAGCGCACCTATTTGCGGCCAAGCCCCGGGGATTTCAGCCGGCGGCGAACGGAGCCGACAGAGAGGCGGCCGACGGGCGGTGGCGGGGGCGGGGGCGGGGGCGGGGGCGGGCCGGTGCCAGACCCGCCGGAGACGCCGCCGCCCCGGGCCGCCGGAGGGGGCGGGCCGGGTCGGAGGGGGCGGGGAGGGGCGATCAATGCCCGACAGCCCGTCCCGGTGACCCCGTAGCTACGTTGGCAGTGTGCGGGCCGCCGGGCTGGTCCGACCCGACCCAGCCCGCCCTGATACGACCCCGGCACGCCACGGTATGACCGACAACACGGCCGATTTCGGCTGCGGTCCGTCTGACCGGCTCATTTGGCAGCAGAGACGGTCATGTGATACATCGGACTGCGAACAGATGCTGTGCCTGTTTGTATATTTCGAGGAAGCCCTGAATACCATAACCGTGCATCTGCACAAGTTGCAACATCATGGGCATCAGTGAGGCTTGTTAAACAGATATGCTTCTAACTTCGTGGGATTCAGGTTCTCCTGCATCCTCAAGTTCCTGTTAATGGATTTCCCAACTATACCTAGCCTATCCATTCCTTGTTCGAAAAGTGTGGAGAAAAATCAGGGCAGGATATTGAAAATGCCTCGATGATTTATTACGATCGGCGAAAAATATTGGATCATTCATCAGATCACTATGCGTCACGGTAAGAGAAGCAGCCTGGAGGCAACGGCCTGCGGTATGAAAATTTCGCGGGCAGGAAAAATGGACGGAATGGGATGATATGGCAGACGAAACTTATCAACAATCCAGCGCTGCAATCGGCTGTTGCCTGTTGGTACGAAAAGCGTGACAAATAGACGGTAAGAGTACTGAGTAGCAGTATGATACTCAGCAATCAGTGGGTAGGGGCTTGTCTTGGAATGCAGAGAGCCTGCAATAGTTTTAGTTGGATTTAAAATAAACGGATTTGTCCAACGTCACAGAGCCAGAGGTGATTCAGGCACGAGCTTTATATGAAATATTTGTTATTCTCGGTTCATGTTTCGCTCACGCTAATGGAAATGTCGCGAAATCACGTGCATGCAATGCTGACAGGACGCCTATCACGGACGTGCTATCAGCATTGAGCGCTGAAACGGCGACACCCGCCGGCCGGATTCCTTCAGTGGAAAATAACAGGCTCACTTCATGGCACTGAAATCGATGTAACGGTACGGTCTCACAGCTGCTGTCTGGTGATTGTCAGCCGCCAGCCGGCCCCATTTACACAAGTGTCTGACTTCATTATATTTCTGGGGCCTTTCTTAATTATGCTAATTGACCCAGCCCTTATTTTCCGTCCTAGTTAATGAGCGTAGAATATCAAATGGTCCACCATGATATCCAGGTTCTTCGCTGAATCCTTCAAGCATTTCCAACTCACACTCGAATACTAATCCCGATATTTAAACAAAGCTCTCCTCCCCTGGCTATCAGGAGCATTCGAAGCTATTCGGATATCATCTATCTTAGCCAATGCTCGACAGGCATTACAACAGCTATCCTGGGTACCCCTCAGGTCTCGACCTGAAACTTATGGCAAACATGACACTCATGACTGGCCCCTGTCGCGATAGCGTGATGCAGTGCTGGGCTCCGCAGCGTCTGCATGAGAGCCCGGTAAGCCGGTCATAATGCGAGCATTGAGTCACAGTTGGGGACGTGGCAGCACGCCCCACCCAGACGGCTCGTGATCGAGCCGATCATACCACTTGTACCCTGGCCAGAATCTCGTGCAGCCCAGCCTTGGCGGCTCTGAAGAAGCCCAAAGTCGCCTCCAACAATGGTGGGCAGTTGATAAGAGCGGTCGCGATAGTGCTTACAGCACCGGCTCGAGTGTTGTGGCTCTGAGTTGTCTGCTCGACCACGGCTAATCCCCTATCAGATAATGGACCAATACGGTGATCAAATAGACAGCGGCCCATGAGGGCATACCACACATCTCCACTCACCGGTCCCAAATATCGGCAATCACAAAAGCGGGTCAAAGCGGCCCGATGTGCGCAGTGCTATTCGTCAGCTCAGTTCTGTTCATCTTATTCAAGCAGAGTTCAGCTTTGAAATGGAAACTACATTTATCATCCAACCGAATACGTCGGGCAGCCTGTCCAGTAGGCAGGGCCACTCGGTAAGCCCACAGCAGTCTATTTGATGACTACCACGCCAATTGTCGCAGCTTTTCTGCTAGACTACCCCAAAGGAGCCAGCATTTTTGGCACAGCTGAGCGGTGAGCAGCCCCCACATGTGGTCGGGAGACGGTGTGGTGCCACCGCGGGGCGGGGGAAGGCTGCCGTCGCGGTCGATAGGCTGCGTAGCAGCGCTGGGTCACCGCGCACCACTGCGCCAGCCGGCGGTGGAGGCGGCGCTCCGACCACCGGCAGCGCCGGGACGCGGGTGGAGCTATCGACCCCGCCACAGCGGGCCGGCGACTATTTTTAGGCAGAGTCTGAGGCAGGTGAGAAGCGGCTGGCAGCGGCGCCGCCACCGCTGGCGGCGCGACCTTGGACGGGCCGCTCCTCTGCCCTCCTCTGCCCGCCGCCGCGCCGGCGGCCACTCTGCTGACGCGTGCCGAGTCCTCGCGGCGACACCGTGCTCGTCCAACGACGGAGCGTCGGCAGCGCCAGCCCGCGCCGTGACAGCACTGTGTTTTGCTACACGTCGGATTGACAGGCCTGGCCGGCTGTGCCGCGGAGCTGCGCCAGTTTGCAGAGGCCGCCGGCGCAGAGCCCAGCTGCATGCCAATAGCCGCATTGTAACTAGACCTCTGCACACAGTGGCGCGCCTACAAAGCGGTGAGCAGGGGTCATCGCTGCAAGCTATAGGTATCAACAACAATGGGGCGTACGAACGGCTGAAATATATCGAGGGCGGGTACGATGTCGGTACTGACTGACTGACAAAATGACAAAATGGGTACGCATCATCTGCCTTTGACGTTAAACCGACATGTCAATGACATTTCAGATATCAGATATCAATGACATTTCAGATATCGGGAGGGGGCTTCATTTAGAAATGGAAGCCAAGCGCGACCATCGGACCTACAAGTACTCATATTTTCCCTGATTTGGCCAGTAAAACCAGAATGCCCACAAAAACGGACTTCCAGCCATATTGCTGAAGCTTGAAATGACCACAGTGATAAGCACATTTTACATTTTTGCCTAATTAATGTGACTAACAAATAGCAGTGGTAACATAACTAACCAAAGCCGACACAATTTAATGGTGATCAGCTACGATTCGTAAGCTTACTCCGAGTCGCTCAACTTAGGACTAGGAACCAGTCGGGTACCTATTTTGTGGTGGAACAGTCCGGTCAAATAATTACTTTCATTCCTTTGTTGCGCTGTCAGAGGGATGTACGTCAAAGAATGGGATGCGCTGTCAAGGGATATCAAAGGGACCTGTCATATTTCAGCGACCATGGCCTCGTGCCCTTTCCTACCCCGCACTGGTACCCTATCGGAGCCCACTGCTGACATGTGGACGATAGGTTAAGGTACCACAGCATTAGAACCAACGAACAAACACATCGGTACACCGAAACAAGTTAAATAATATAAGAAGCGTCCAGACAAAGCAGAACAATAATGGGAAAACCGAACAAATCATAACAAAACCGAAGGAATCATAGCAAAAAAAAAAAACGAACAAACCATAGCAACACCGAGCCAATGAGTACTTTTTATATGACTCAGCAACATTAGAGAAAAGTGTACGGCTCGTTGTACGGTTTTGATGAAAAGAACGACAAAATTCAAGTAAAATATTCACATTTAGCCCCTGCACTTACTTGATAGGCCAAGAGGTCCTTGTCGTCGGCGCCAGTCAGCTCGAAGCTAGGGGTGTGCTGTCCGAAGGGCCGGCCCGGAAACGAGGTGCTCCTTCTGAACTTGTTCGGGGACATGACCATGCCTCCGTTACCTTGATTGAAGGTAGGGCTGTACTTTCTGTTCATGCCCACAAGAGTTGCCGGTATGCTCGTCGAAATGGGTGACAGCGGGCTCATGTTGGGCACTTGACGACCTCTGTTCCAGCCCGGCATACCGCCCATGTTGTGTTGAGGCTGATGGAGATTTCCTCCCCAGTTGTTTTGCTGTGGCTGAGAAGCGCTCACGCCGGGCCACGCAGGGTACCCCTTGCTAGCCAGATAAGGGTTCGGGGGCCTGCTCGGCGGCATATTGTGGGAGCCAGTGATAGCTCTTCTCTGAGTCTGGCTTTGCTGCTGCATATTCAGCTGAGCCCCAAATCCTGCACCAAGCAGATGCCCAGGGTTGGAATTCTGGGTCTGATTCAAGCCAGGAAAGGTATTTTGGTAAGAGGCACTGCTGAAGGCCTGCATTCCAGTGAGAAAGCTGTCTTCCACCGAGCCGGTTGACCACAAACTCGATGGAGAACCACTCAGACTGCCATTCATCATTATTGGACTAGTTTCAGAATAGGATGGTCCAAGCTGCTGAGAGCTCCCATACCCTATATTGTTGGAAAGACCGCTGGCGCCACTTACGTTTTGAGAGAGACCTGGATGATTCACCAATCCATTTTTATCTAAGCCTTTCAACTTGTCATGGGCTCCGGCGTGATTTCCAAGGACACTACCGAGCCCGAGCAGGTTGTGGCTGTCTTCACAGTATCTCTGACTCTCACTGCTGAGGCTTTCGGGGTTTGACGCTGGCTGAGGTGGTGACTTGTTCTCTCGATTTTCAACAAGAAAATCATCTTGGTGCATCGTACGACCACGTTGTTCGACTCTGCTTGTAGTCAAAGTTGACGCGCCTGAGCTCACGAAAAACGAACTGTTCGAAGTTGATGGTGGAACAATGTCAGAGCAAATGGCACTTATATCAGAGGGAACATTAAATTGCAAATCACCCATTGGCCTAAACACACTTAAAACAGCGCAACTTCACTGGCACACGGCGGCCGGCAGCCCTTGCGTCGAGCAGCACCCACCCGCTCGACACTCTTCGGCGTTCTGCGCCGCTGCGGCAAATCCAGTTTGTGTATCGGAAAACTTCAGCAATCGTCCGCTAGATGTCAGTACGCTACAGGGCTAGTATATTTTGATGGTCTAGTAGCCATTTCTAGCAGATAATACTAAATTGAGTGTTGAATATACTAGCCGATTATCACAGTGAATACAATAGACCGGAATTTCGGAACGTGATAGATCAGTGTCACGGACAAACCACGTTATTTTGATGGTTAGGTATATTTATAGCGGCCATAGGTACTCCAGAAGGATTGTGATAGCAACTAGCGGCCTAACTGTTCGGAATACGGCTGCTCAGGAATCAGGTTGTCGCAGGAGAAGTGGGTATAAGGCTCAATGCCAATTTTGAGACCCCTCATATTACGCTTATAGCAATGCATTACAGGGGACGGCCATCAGCAGTTGCTTCAAGTCAGCTGCAAAAAGCCTGTAGACTGTAGGTCAAGTAGGGCAAGGTCAGGACAGGTTATGCTAGGTTTTTAGCGATAAGTACGTTTCTACGTTCTTAATAACTGACGAACTCTTGCGTACATACTTTTGTCCAATGAGAACGTACGACCTACGGTCGTGGGTACTAAGTGATGCGCATTGTTGTCCGAAATCAATGCTAATGAACATAAATCGCTCACTAGGTGTCGCTGTATATAGCCGAATATTAATCATAGGTGTCGCGCACATCGCTCAGACGCCTCTCGAGCTCAGGTGGGCAACTAGGCAAATGCCCATTAGCGTCGCCAGGGGGGGGGGGGGCAAGCGGGGCAGCTTGCCCCCCCCCCCAACCTCGGACCGGGCACCCCCTGAGATCGATACAGATCCGATGAGATTTTGGAGTCGGGAAAAATGGGGGTACCTTTCTGAGAATGCCTGTGAGGTCAGACTCGGTTGGAGTGTGCAGTTCAAACCAGAGTCTGACTCGCAGTCGCCAAAATCTTCAAGACTCCGAGTCCAGGCTCGGAAATGTCAATGCTGTTTTCAATTCATTCCCATGTTCCTAGTTCGTTCTTTATTACATTTTACAGCTGATTTTCATAAGTTTAGGAGTGCTGACATAATTTTCGTTCAAAGCGTGAAACAAAATCTTCGGGGCCTTTCTCAACTCTCGTCAAATGTCTGCGACAGGCTCAAGTACCGTACAAGTGTCGCAGGGCTCATGAGCTTGCTTTAAAGGAAATAGTTCACTTTTTAACATGGGTTTTGAACTGGAATAGCAGTTCCGTAGCTTGGGCTGAGACGAGCATAAATCAGGAGCTTTTACAGCCCAACGATCACCCTAGGCAAAGATATTCTATTTCTCGTCCCGAAAAAGGTGTCTTGCGTTGAGGATGTGTGCCTTGCATATATTTCCATCCAGTATGAAAAGAGCATGGGTCCCGAAAATTCTTCAGAAACTAGAGAAATTATCTACGAGAACTCTAGAGAAATTCTCGTACTGATCAATTAGGACATTCAGGGGAACATTATCAGATCGAGCAGATCGCCCAAATGCCGGTGGCTGCGATAATTTCTCTGTTTCTGAAGAATTTTCGGACCCATGCTCTTTTCATACTGGATCGCGTGTGCCTTACAGAAACTGAAAAGTTCTTCCTATATCAAAATATAGAAAATAATATTTTGTTATAAAAAGGTTTAATTTTCTTTGCTGATTATTTTGAACATAAAAAATCATAAATCCGTTGCAAAAAAAAATAATTTCGTGAAAGTGAACTATTTCCTTTAAACAAAGGCTCCTAAGGAGCTCCACTGAGCCCTAAAGAAGCTTTCAGAGGGCCCAAACCGGCCTCTGAAAGTCCCACTGGTGTCCATGTTCTCTGAGGGCCCAAGCCCATACAGGGATCTCTGAGCCTTAACTGGCCTCTGATAGTTCAGCCAAACTTTTGAGGCGACAGACTTTGCTAACCCCAAGCCGGCATCTGAGGGGTCACAGCTCGCGTATCCCTCTGAGGTCCGCAACACATGTTTATTATGTCCCAACGTAAGGTCCTTAGGGATTCGACACCGATCTTCGGGATCCTAAGCATGCTTCTGAGAGTCAGCACTGACCCTGAGTGGCCTGAAATGGCCTGGAAGTCCCAAACCTATCTCTAAGGGATCCCTTGCCGCTATGCCATGCGTAACTTTTTGTTCCGTTAAACAGTGTTTTGTTCGCGTTTGCAGCGCTTCCCTTCACACGAAAAACGAGAAACTTTTGTTCACACTCGAGTGAACAAAACACTTCCTCTCACTGGAGCAAAGATGAATTACTTCCGATTCACACTTCCGACACTCTCCGCCGAATGCCCAACTTAGCTACGATCGGCGGCTGGGATAAGTCCTATGCATTTCACGTAAAACCTCTGCATGCATGCGTGATTGGAGGTTTTAGCAGGGTGATTCGATTAAATGGAGCGTTTTTCACCTTTTTCTGGGTAATGATCATGAGCGTCGAGCGTCTGCACAGGGGTCCTCTGCAGTGCGTTGGCAATCGCAGCCACTATATACTATAATTCTACCAGTCGTTTTTGTCATGAAATTTCAAAATTTCGATTTTTTCTGTAAAAAAATTATATGTCATAGCTAAGAGGAAACCTTTGTCACCATCGGATTCCTCGCACCATTGCGCGTCGAATGACATGTAAAACGAGTGAGTAAAGACTGTGGAAAGGCAAGTTTTAACACAAAAGTTGATTTTGCCCCCCCCCCCAACCGAAAATCTCTGGCGACGCCTATGCAAATGCCTACCCTAAGTAAGCATGCATATCGCGATGCATGCATGGGATGCGTGGTGGAGCTGCTTTGTATTGTTCTGATTCATGGTAGATCTAATTCGTCGGCTTTCTACACACCACCTGGACTGAGGCCAGCCAGGTGGGTGGGTGGGCCGTACCTAGGTAATGTATGGACAGGTAGGTACTGGGTAGATTCCAGCCTCCGGGTACCTAACTAAGGAAGTACGGCCTTTGTCCCTTTAGGTCACTTACCGGTTTTCCAATTAGGTACTTCATACTTGCATGCCCCGGTGAGAAAGAGGTGCAATCCCCTCTCTGCTCTTCCCAGGTGAATTCCTTCCCGAAAACTGACATGTGAGCTGACAGCGAGACACCGCGATTGATTTCCAACTCTATGGTTGCAGCTCAAGCCTCAAACGGTGACCTCTGAGGTCAGGGGCAGGACAAAGAGTCAAAAATCAGAATCCAAGTTTTAGTAAATTTCTTTAGACCTTATGTGACACTTAAAACTCGAAAAAGTGTTGGTACGACACCCCTCCCCCTCGCGTTTGGCCCCTGATCAAGCTAGAGCTTCGCGGAAAAAACGAGCGTGCTGCCCGTCACGAGAGGAAGCCGACGATATCCAATTTTAAGGTCCTAGGGCTAGGTCATCGGGTGACCTTCCAGGTCAGGTCAATGACCCGAATATCGGGAAAATCGGGACCTGTTAGAAAGTCGTAAAGTGTGGCTGCTAGTGGGTTTTCCGGGGTGCTGATCACGAATATCGTGTTCGTTTTAATCAGAGATGATGTCTTTAAGCATTTAGACCAGGTCGGGTCAGGTCAGGTCAGGTCAACCAGCAGGGTTGACAGCTTCGTAACATGTTACGAAGGCATCAAAACTACTTTGTAAATGTTCAAATCGTTGCTAAATTCGAAATCAGCTCCAAAAACTAGCCTAGAAACATGTAAAAACTCGAAAAAGTGAACTGAGGTCACCAAAGGTCAATGACCTGACCTGACCTTCAGGTGACCTTGACACCCACCCTAATGCATGGCTGAGCAACATAAATCACATGTTTGAACGTTTGAACCACGAAAAGCTTGCAAACGCGCGGCTAATGCGAGCCGACATACGCTGAATCGCGCTTCCGGCCAAACATGGCCTCGGAAAAGAGATCACAGGTCAAAGGTCCTTTGAGTTAGGGTCATGAAATTTTTAGGGTAGGTGTAACATTGATCAGTGCGAGAGTACTGAAAGTTTCGCCGCGATCTACCGCTTTTTACGCGAGTTATTTGCGAAAACACTTAGGGGGGGTTGCATCAACCCTTGCACAGGGGTTGCCCCCTGTGCCGGCGAGGGTTAACCATTTGACCTTATGTGACACTTATGGGAAATCAAGAATATGCAAGTTGTTTAGTCTTTGAAGCTTTGAGGGCACTTAGACCGTTGCGAATTTAGGTATAAAAAATGTCCAGAGGCTTATTGATGACATGAGTTAGTGAAGTGGCCTAACTAAAAACACGATTTGTGCAAAGCAAAAATCCGATTTGCAGAATATTCGGTATCCTACCTCATCCACCGAAAAGGAACTTCTGGCTGGGTACCGTGTTTCGTCCCTAAGCGACCATCCGTCTGAATGTTGAGCAGAGGCAGTCTGACCCACCCGTCTCCGCTGTAGCGGAGCGCGATCGGCTGAACGTCCAAGTCCTGGTGTGCGGTTTGCTGGTCGGGACTTCCCGGCCTAGCGTTTTCTCGAACCAATGTTTGTCACCGAATTCAGAACACACGACAAGGGGGTTGAGTTTTGGGAGAACGCTTATTTCTTAGCACATGAGTTTCATAAAACGTTTCATGATGATTAAAATGACACATATCCACCACAAAACTTACGAGCACGAATCTCAAACAGAAACGCATTTGCACGTTCAAACGCAAAGAATGGCTGGACGGAGTGCTTTATCTTGGAATAACTCATCATGGTGTAGCTGATGTCCGCTATCATATAGTACAACTAGTATGCCTAATGCCCATGCACTGCAGTCGAGGTGAGCAGTGCCCGACATCCAACCAGACTGGAGTCTGTGGAAACAATAGCCGTTTTCACGACGGACTATCCGGCGAGTGCACGTAATTTGACCAAATCTGCACCTAATCTGCACCAAATGTGCACCAGATGTGTACCAGATGGCCGTCGTGAAAACGGGCATTACTGATCATTCTGTAGAGCATGGTCGACATCATGATCGTAAATCAAGCTTTTACATATACATATCGTTGTGACCTATACGAATGACGACAAAAT